AATAAATAAAAAAATATATTTTCCAAGTTTCAAGTTCCTAACATAATATTAACCCGTGCCGCATTGCAGTTTATGTTTCCTATGTAAATAACATGGTGTTTTCAGCATTGAATAATGAATTATTTATTCCGGCCAAAGTAACTGTTCAAAAAATTTGAAACTTGTCAGAATTTAACCTTATAATAGTAGCTATTCGTTAGAATTTTAACGGATTTTTAGCAATGATATTGTTAGAGTTTCATCTATATGATTTTTATTAAATTTAAGAAAATCATGTAGCTAAAACTTTAAAATTATAATAGCTCAAAATCTGTAAAAATTCTAAGAAATAGCCACTATTATAAGGTTCAATTTTGCCAGGTTTCAATTTTTTTTACAGTTGCTTTGGCCGGAATAAATAATTAATTATTCAATGCTGAAAATCCCATGTTATTTACATAGGAAACTTAAACTACAATGCGGCACGGGTTAATATTAAGTTAGGGACTTGAAACTTGGAAAATATTTTTTTTATTTATTTCGAACCCTTTGAACCCCTGAGAGCAAAAAAATTCAAAATTTCTCAAAATATGGACCACCCACCCACTTTATTATTTAATAGTCTTTATTATGTTGTAAGGCAATACAAATTTTAAATGTTATTATTATACCGCGAAAGTTTTCCAGCGATTATATCAAAATGATTATATTGTGATATTATAGTTATTTTTTGCACATGTTAAGATTAAGATAAGTGTTTAATTTTTTAACCCTGAATTTTGTAAACATTTTGATGTCATCGCTGGAAAAGTTTCGCGGTATAGTTATTCCAATATATTTATAAAGGCTATTAAATATTAAAGTTTATTTATACTTTTTTTTATACTGAGAATTATGATATATATTTTATATTATTTTTTTATTATTAAGGAACATATTATTTATTTTATTACATTTTTCAATAACAATAAAAAGTCAATTATTCTAGTATTTTACATAAAAAGTTGTATTTTAATAGTCAATTTAAATGAGTTAATAATAAAAATATATAATTTTACAAAGGCATTAACATAAAGGAAAATCATTTTATATTTCTGACTACAAAACGTAGTTACGAGCCACAGAAAGCACTATAAAGAAAAATAGCTAGACAAAGCATAATATTTTTAAAGTAATAATATAAAATTCATATAATATGTAATATAGTGTCGGAAATTCCTTTATTCAACGAGTAATTAATTGGAAGAAAGTGAGGTTGGATAAGTCTAAAATTTGTTAGATATGAAAAACAGAGATGTCGCCACGAGTGTTTATTCTGTCATCAGATGATAGAATATTTCATTCTGTAACACTTTACGGAATATATGTCATTCCATAGATAAAAGTTATATTAGAAGGGTCAAATTTCGTAATAGGAGTAGAAAAACGAATATATTGTGATTAATGGTGTAATCGCGTTGTACATTTCTCTCTTGCTTATTGGCTTTAGAAAATTACTGAATTTACGAAACACTATAAATAAAAATATCCGAAAATTTCTATATTACTTTAGTATTAATTTTAGATTCAACGTTTTATTATTATTATTAATATTATTATTATTATTATTATTATTATTATTATTATTATTATTATTATTATTATTATTATTATTATTATTATTATTATTATTATTATTATTATTATTATTATTATTATTATTATTATTATTATTATTATTATTATTATTATTATTATTATTATTATTTATTTATTAACTTTAACCGATGCATCGCGATGGGCGAAATTTTACTCCGCCCACGGGCTGAAGTTCGCTTTAAGTAAATATTGAAAAAACGTGAGGTTTAAGTTGTTTGACAGCTGTCAGATTTCAGATAAAGTATCAAATAAAATTGGTTTTAAATTCCTTGTGGTAGTTAAATAAAATTTGTGCAAGTATTTTTCAAAAGAGGAAATTTATCAAGATGGCAGTTTGTAATTGGTGTAAAAGAACTAAATCAGTTAATAAGCATAAAAGAACGTTAATTTAATTTGAAATCTAAATTTTTTGTTCTTCCAAATTTGGAAAAAGACGCTGATCAATTTTTGCGTAAATTTGAACCAACCCGCTAATACACTCTCTAAAAATGAATTAGTCAAAAATAACTAATTAAATAGTAAATAGTGGCTGCTTTTTCACTTGTGCCATGGTTAACCATCGAATACCATGGTATCCCAAAATTTAATAGCCAATTATTATGTAAAATTGTACTCCGAATCTGAAAATACCGTCAAAAGTTATGAAAGTGGAGCAGTTTTTGAGATATAGTCAATTCCATATTAAATGGAAAATTTACTATATCTCAAAAACTGTTCTACTTTTTTAACTTTTGAAGACATTTTCGGATTCAGGGTAAAATTTTACATAAGAATTGGCTAATAAATTTTGGGATACCATGGTATTCGATGGTTAACCATGGCACAAGTGAAAAAGCAGCCACTATTAACTATTAAATTAGTTATTTTTGACTAATTCATTTTTAGAGTAAAAATGGGTGATCGGTTAGATTGTGTCTGAAAATAAGCTTCTTACAAAGATAAAAATGTGTTGAAGATTTAAGTACATTATAAGTAAAGAGAGATTAATGGTATTTAAATAAGTTTTCAACCCTTAACCAACTAAATCATTAATCCTGCTAGAAATTCGGTTATATCTGTGAAGGCCATATACAAACCTGGCACATGAATTTTGAATTATTTTTTTATTTAATTGTTCATGGCATGGATAGTAGAAAATGATCCCATTGTTCAAAAAAAATATAACATTAGTATCTTTTTTCTTAAGATATACTTTAAATTTTTTTTGTTGGTATTTAAAAGTTTTAGTGCTAAATAAGATTTTTTTAACATAATTGACATATATTCTTGAAATCGCAATTTAAAATCAAAGATAATTCCCAGGTTTTTAGCTGTTTTACCAGACGGATTGGATGTCGACAATTTTTAAATGTAGGTTGGATTTTATATCTATTTTATATTTATTGCTACTAAAAATTAGGTAAGTACATTTGGAAGGTGGTATTGCTAAATTTTAATGAGTTGTAGTGATCTACTATTGTCACACAGTTGCTGGGTGGACTAAACACTGAAGGAAAAAAATCGTTTATATTTTCAGGATCTCTTAAATTATTAAGAATGAAATTAAAAGTTTTGTTTAATTTTTTAATATTTTATAGTTTTCCATAATTTTGTTTTATCGGGATTATTTTGTTGTGTGGTAAGATATGATTTTTTCTGTTTTAATAGCCTCTACAATTAAATTTTCCTTTTGAATATTGCGTTTTTTGGCTTCAGTGACACTGTAAAAATTAGCAACCTCTTTATTTAAACTAGGGGTGTTCCTGAAACTTTGCAAATTGTGCAGCCATCTAGCGTGAAATTGTACTAACTAAGATTAAATTGTACTAACTTATCGCGAAAATTCAAAACTTGTCCAAATCCACTATCACATCACAGATTCACAGCTGAGTGCCGACGCCGACAGCCTGTCGGTGTTAGGTTAATGATGACTTGAGGTTTATGTTTTGACGTTGACATTTGACGCCTTGCGCCATATTCCCTCCTAAGAAGAATATATAATAATATAATCTTCTTATTTCCTCTATAAAGAAACTTTCTCTATGATTCCCTCCGTAACGTAGGCTTAGTTACCAACAGTAAAAAAGTTGCTAGAAATTTTGTCCCAATTTCGAGATTCGATCGAGAACGATCGTTCGATTTATTATTTTTTTCCAATTGAAGGCAATTTTGAAAATTGTACTAGAATTGCCGAAGAGGTGCTGACGTACTAGAAGCTATTTTTTTGTACTAGAAAAGTACAATTGTACTGAAAATCACACCCCTAGCTCAGCTAGGTTTGATTTTTTATTTTACATCCATCTCGACATGTTTATTTAAAATTGCTTCGTCAGCAGACCTTACAAATAAACAGCTGATTGAGTGTTTACGTTTTTTGTTACAGTTGCATGCCAATAAACGTAGGTAGAATTGAAACTGTTTTTGCTCACATTTTTTTTTTATTTCTTATTAATTTGATTTCAACAAATTTGTAGAAAATTCAATTTTTTAATAGTTTTTTTTTGCGTCGAATGCATTCCACTTCTTTGGTCAAGATTTCCATTTTGCTTTGTAAGCACAAATATCCTGTCCCAAGCGGCATTTACAATAAAAAGCATTTATAACTATTTTAATGATCTTAAATAAATTATCACAATTCACTCCCAAGCACTTAACTAAAGATTTAGCATCGCGCGTCGTATCGTATAACCATAAGAGACCGAAACATCCAGAAAAGATTCAAAACAAATGTCTCGTTTGGAGTTTTAAAGGATCGAATTATTGGGCCTGTCTCCTTTAACGAAAATTTAATCGCTCACTAATATAATCTACCATTACTAGAAAATCTGAAACTCGTTTTGAAAGATCTGCCAGTTAATGAGTATGCATATGTTATATTTCACGAAGATGTCCACAATTCTTAATGGATGGGTACTTACGAATATAAACCGCTTGTTTTAAATATTTAAAAAATAAAGTTTCACTCATCCAGAGAACTTGAAGGACTTAAAGGACCCAATCCAAAACGAAATCGCTTACATTCCAAAAGTAACAATTCTCTAAGTGACCAATACAGTAATCAAAAGATGTGTCTGCATTGCGCACCGTAATTTATATTTGTGAAGTTATAAGAAAAATTCATAATAATTCTGGTCAATAAAAAGTACCTGTTTAATTGTTTAATTTTAACTTAGGTGGCTTCCTAATAAAAAATGTATTTTCTCCTATGCTGTCTTCTTTATACAAAAAAAATGTACAAGCCCTTTTTTCAGCGTCATGACCTAAATTGGAGCTCCAATGTGTACGTAAAAACATGATCGTAAAAGATGTTTTTAGACTCATAATAACCATTTTAAATAAATTTAATAAATTGCCTAGTAATAACGAATTAACATAATTAATCCTGTACAATTATAACCACTTACCACTGGCATTCCACCCTCCTTCTACTTGATAGGCAGAAGTTGCTATTCCAAATTTAAAATTTGGTGGTACTCTTACACTATTAACATTATAAATTATAAATGCAGCGAAAATTATAAAAATCATTTTCTTTAATTGTACGATTCAACACAATCCCAATTAAAAAACTTATTTATTGTTTGTGTGATAAGTATTTATATTAACATTTATCATTTATCTCATTTTTTCTACTATCAGCTTTTATTTAGCAATTAAACTCTAACCTACGAACCACGTTTAATATGGTTTAAACAACAATACCAGTTTTTGTTTAAAGATGAGCAGTTATAAACAGATAACTGTGCGACAGGGCTTCAAACACCTTTGGAATATATAATTTTTAAAACATATTTTCCCATATTTAGATTTATCTTTAGATGTTTACTATATTTTACTTTTTTATTTTTAACATGTTTATTATTAGTCAATCGCAGTTAGGACCTATTATTTGTTTACTAAATACATAAAACAAGCCTATAATTAATTAGATCTTTAATAACAAGATAAAAAATTAAAAGTTGACTATAAAAGCAAAAACTTTTTCACGTTTCCGCGTTTGTTTGGTGCATAGAACCTAGTCGCCTGTCCGGTCAAGAAAATCGGACAAAAAATTCAGTTAATCCCGGCGCATACGCCATATTAAAACGTGTTTTTTTTTCACCACATCTAAAAACTCTGCTAGTAATATATTTAATAATAAATGATGTATTGAAATCTTCTTGTTTATTTATTTAATATTTTTAGATTTTTCTATTCAGAAAATTTTAATTTGCTAAATATTAATTAAAATAGTAATAATTATTATTATATTAATCAATAATTATAATTATAATAATAATTATTATTAGTTAAATTTTAAATGTATTTATTGGGGTAAAATGGTTAAACATTTTGAGAAAGCTAAGCCTCTCTGACGAGCCGTTTATTTTATTGTTTTCGACTTCTTATTAAACTTTCGTTGCCATTGTTGGGCTTGTACAGTACGGTATTTTTTCATCAAAAACAATGTCTAATGAGCATTATTTAAGAAAAAGCAAATAATAGTACCTACTTAATTATAATGGATATTGGTATATTTTTAATAATAATAAGATAATAATGAAAAATTCTTCAATTTCTCTTCAAAAAATGTAAGACAAAATTAAATGTGCCACATTTTTTTTGAACTTACATACTTTTAATTAATTTTAAAATTTGTATTTGTAAAAAAGGTGAATACTGCAAATAAAATAAAGTTTACGGAACTAATTCTCGCTTTTATTTTATCTTATGTTTTCTTAAATTTAAATCCATCCAGACCAATAACGGGCCCATCATCTTTTAAGACTTTTTGGAGGGTCCGATGGTCTGATGGTTTTTGATATGGGATAAGTCAAAAAATTTCAAAGATTTAAAAAAATATTTTAAAGGGAAGATTATAATGTATCCAAGGTAAACAATTCATTACGCGGCATAAATGACGTCAGTTAAATATTTTAATAGGTTAAAACCTATATTTTGGGCTGTTTAAGTCACATAAAAATGCCGCCAATAACTAATTGCAGTTTCTTGTTCGGGACCCTTTGCTGACTTAAAAATGATATTTACCAAAATCCTAGCTGCTCCTCTTTTCGACATTTTTTGAAAATTCATGATTTTTTTTTTTATTTCAAAGTCTACCTTTGACAGAGTTCACATTTGTACACCGATTTTTATAAAATTAGAGTAGATTATTGAAAGACTTAAAGAATACTTTTTAAAACTGTTCAGATCATTTGATATATACAGGGTGAGCCAAAAATCGCTTATTTTTAATAAAGCAAAAGCGTAAATTCATGATTTTGGCATAACACGCAAAAAAGATTTATCCCCATTTTTTTTAGATATTTTTACGTTTATCAGGTTACAAAATTGAATTCTTATTAACCTTTTATAAAAAAAATAGATTTTTAATAAAATTAAATAAAATAACGCTTAGAAAATGTTGTTCAATTTAGGCTTTTTAGTAGTTTTCAATTTTGAACGAAAAAGGAGATTTAAAAACGATATTTACCAAAATTCTAACTGCTTTTTTTAAAATGCTGCTCCTCTTTTCGAAATTTTTTGAAAATTCTCATTATTTTTTTTAGTTTTTGTTTTCTTACCTTTGACAGAGTACACATTTGTACACCGATTTTTATAATATTGGAGTATATTGTTAACGAGACTTGGAGAATACTGTTTTCATACTGAGCACATCATTAGATTTATACAGGGTTAGCTAAAAATCCCTTTTTTATATAGTAAAAAGCATAATGCACAAAAAATATATTTCTCCAAAAAATGTTATTTTATTTAATTTTATTCAAAATCAATTAGTCAAATTAGTCAAAGTCTTAATAAGAATCCCATTTTGTAGCCTGATAAACATAAAAATATCTACAAAAACATGGGAGGGTATATATCTTTTTTTTGTGTTATGCCAAAATCATGAATTTACGCTTTTGCTTTATTAAAAGAAGCGATTTTTGGCTAACCCTCTATATATTAAATGATGTGCACAGTATAAAAAAGCATTTTCCAAATCTCCTTAACAATATACTCCAATATTATAAAAATCGGTGTACAAATGTGTACTCTGTTAAAGGTAGACTTTAAGAATAACAAAATTAAAAAAAAAATCATAACTTTTCAAAAAATTTCGAAAAGAGGAGCAGCTAGGATTTTGGTAAATATCATTTTTAAGTCACCAAAGGGTCCCCTGCAATCAGTTTTTGGCGGCATTTTTATGTGACTTAAACTTCATTCAGGCATACCGTGTGTAATCGAATGAATTTATAGTCTAATAATTTTGACAAATTTTAAGGCTTATAAAGATAAACTTATCCCTTGAGATAGCCCCACAGATAGATAGATAAATATATATTTATTTACCTTCAAAATTTATAAGGCGTGTCAACAAAACAATATATTAAAACATAATTAAAATATAATAATATAAAATGTAAAAGAGACATATGAATAAAAAACGCAATAAATAAGTACACTAGGTTTAAAAATATTAAGAAAAAATTAAAGATAAAAAAATTATATAAGTGAGGTAAAAATACATACGTTAGAAATTTAAAAATTCATCTATTGAATAAAAAACATTTTGGATTAAGAATTTTTTTACAGTCTTTTTAAAAAGTGTCCATCTTTCTGATCTCTTCTGGAAGCTGAGACTTCTGCAAACGACATTTAGGAAGAACCATTTTGTCTTGTCTTGTTTTATATCTAATTGTGAATTTTTGCGTGTGTTAAGTAGTTGGTCTGATTTTGGTGTATGTAACATAGACAGGTAAGTATGTAGCAGCTTGTTAACAATTGTTGGCGGTGCTTCGATTATTGCTCTAATAGCCCTTTTTTGTTGTAGAAATATTCTGGATATGGATATGGATATGTGGAGATGCTATGAAAATGTGCAAAATAGGTCAGTGTTGCGGCATTTTTGTTCACGATAAACCTTATTCTTCTAATTAAATAAATGGCTGATGTTAGTTTTTTTAAAAGGTGATCTATATGTTGAATCCATATCATTGTACTATCCATATAAAATCCTAGCAAATGAATATTTCCAGGTAGTGTAAGTTTTTTTAGTGAAAATACAAGGGTTTGAGTTTTTTCTTTATTAAGTTTTACGTTTTCCGTTTGTCTCAAACCAATTGTGCATTGTTTATTGCTTCAAAGGACTTTTGTTTTAGCCTTTTTGTATTGTCGGAACTATTTATAAAAGTGGTATCATCAGCATAAATGCATGATTTTGAAGTATTTACATTTTTTGTCAGATCGTTTGTATAAAGGATAAACAAAATTGGTCCTAAGATAGATCCTTGTGGTACTCCCATGTTTATTAATTCTTCTTTGGTTTGTCTTTCTTTTCACCCAACTACTTGTCTTCGGTTTCTTAGGTAAGATAAAATTATATCCTGTGCTGGACCTCTGATTCCATAGAAATATAGTTTGTCGAGCAATATTTGGTGGTTTACACAATCAAATGCTTTACTTAAATCCAAGCATGCTACTTCTGTATCCTGTTTATCTTCCAAATTTTCTATAATTATTTTATAGACTTTTATCATAGCAGATACTCGGGGTCTTGATCCTGTTAACTGGTTTCGCTAAAAATATCACCAGAAAATAAATAAGTTTTAGTTTACGTTTTATTAGCAAACAAGCTGATACATTTCATTTAATATAGTCTTGTTTCCCCCACTACGTGTTTTCGGCTGTTCATCTTTACGATATTAAAGTAAGTGTATTACTGTAAGTACTATTTTGAATCATCTCGTGTTTACCCCTTACCTTTATATTTTACTGTTTGGTTATCTAAATAACAATTCCTAACACAGACCCAAATCCTGATAACGCAGACGATTTACAAGATGAAATTGAACATTATAAATTGTCGGAAGTATTTTCAATAGTGCCAAAATTTGAGGGAGATCAAATCTTTCTCGGTACTTTTCTGACTGTGCATACAATATATGTACAGAAACACAAAGATTTCTTTTAGTGATTCACATTAAAAACAAACTTCGCGGCAAAGCAGCACAATTAATTAGCTCTCGAAACCCAAATTCATGCTTAGAAATAAAACAACTTTTAAATCTACACTTTGGCGATTCACGCGACTTAACCTCCCTAATACAAGACTTACAAAGACTCAGACAATTATCGAATGAATCCCCGCTAACATACTTTAACAGACTTCAGATCTTAAACGCAAAAATGCAAGCAAACATAAATAAATCCAACCAATCTAATGAACAAAAGAAAGCGCAAACCGATTTAATAGAGACAATGGCTCTTAACACTCTTTTAACAGGTTTAGATTCGCGAATAGGTCAAATCGTTCGCGCAAGCAACCCTAGAAGCTCACCAACGTATTCGACGTGAACTTTAACTTTCCTATTTTGAAAACCAACAAAAAACCGCCTTTAAACCAAAACAACCAAAATTTCCTCAACACACAGTTCGAAAACCTTTCCAGAACTCACCTCAACGCTTTTCTACACAAAATTATACTCCAAGAGTTAACCCAAATTTTACACCAAGGTTTACTCCTAACCAAAATCAAAGTCAACCACAATCGACAAACCAATTTAC